TCATTGTCCATCAGCCTCTCCACACATCACATTGGACTGATCCACAGTTACATCGCTGTTCTGCACATTTAACATTTGGACGAAGGCTCCTCTTGCTCTCAGGTGACAGATGAAGGTAAGTTTGGCCCAAGCCTTTCCCCAGAGGCCACGGGGGAGCTTCAGGGAGTGCCCTGGCAGTGGTCACCAGTGCCAGTCCCCGGGGCAAGTGCTGCCACGTTCCTCTGCCCTGTGGCAGCTCCTGGTGCTGGGCCTGGTTAATTGGGTACATAATGAGTCTCATCTTGTTCCTCGTGGAGTCAATAGCAGGTCTGGGACCAACATGTCCCACTGCTTTTCCTGGTTTAATTTACATTGATACTCTGCTTCATTTAAAGGCGGCTCCTTACTTCAAGTGACTCTTGATCAAGGGTGAGTCATCTGTGCTGGTGCAGCTGCATGCACAAACAGCCCCATATTTCTTCATTATCTGCCTCGGGAAGCTCCTTGCATGGAGATCTCTCTGCTGGTGAAAGGAGCTGAGCTTTTCTCATCACTCCCAAGGAACTTCATCCCAGTCACACAGAGACCCATAACTGCCTGTTGCAGGAAAAGAAGTTGCAGTACTAAAAGCTGTCACTGCTGTAAATTGAGCAAAGATGAATAAGAAGCAGAAGTATTAAAAAGTGTCACTGCTGTAAGTACAGCAAAGATGGATCACTGGAAGGAGGCCTAGCCCCGTCAGCAGGTGTGTGTGGTACACACCTGTGCAATGGTGCTCATGCCTCATAACTCTGAGGCATTGCCTTACCTGGGATGTCTGTGAACGTGGGGAGGAAACACAAGATGATGGATGTGCTCCTAATGCGGTTGCAGTCTTACCAGTTCAAAGAACCTTGAGATGGAAATTTTGCTGTTCCAGGTCAGACCTTGCAAGGCGTTGGCTCTTTGTCAGGGGCTGGTGGGAGCTGGATGTACCTCAGAATTTGCTTTTCTGTTCAAATTCTGTTTGGATGTTCATGGAGCTCTTCTCTTCCTGTTATGTCAACAACTATCTCACACCTTGTGGGGAGAGCACAGGTATACTGAAAAAAAACAGCACAGTGCAGTTTGAGACTGAAGATGAAGCTACATTAGTACCTGCACGGGGTGTGCACACAGCAGGGAGAGAACCAGAAAGGAAGGCAGTGAGTAAAAGCACCTGTGAGAATGAGGTGACAGCTTGGATTTTAAAAGGAACTTCTGGGAGAGTTTGTGTGCTCCTCAGGAAGTCAGGAGTGAGCCTCCACCTCAAGCGTCTGCACCTAGGCCAGGGAGGAAGGTGGCACAGATGCCTTGTATGAAAAATGCCTTTTCTTCAAGCAGGTAGAATATGGAGAGGAAATATCCCAAACCAAAAACAGGAAGAGAAAGAAAAGCTTGGGATATTAGAGCAATGTGTCAAAAATGCCCATTGTGCCAAGTCCAAAAGCCCCCTCATGCCCAGTGCAGGACCCCTGACGACACGGGTTTCCTGTAGTCCTCACATCTTCTACAGCAAGAAAGGGATGAGTCAGAAATCATTGCAGAGCACTTTATTACCCAGGTAATTAAATCTGTTGACTCAAAGAACTAAACCCTCAGTTTATTGAGCACAACGTGATTTGCACACTCCCTGAGAAGCTGTGCCACATCCCAGACCATTACAGCATGGTGTGGCAGAGTGCACGCACGCTTCTCGGAGCTCTGCAAAGCTTCTAGCATGGGAAGAAGCAAACGAAGGAGCAGCACCCTGCAAAGCTGGCTGTGCCACGGGCAGGGTGCCAGGGAAACAGCGGCTCTGGCTGCAGCAGGGCAGCAGTGAGCTGCCTCCAGAGAGCTGTCGGCGCTGCAAAAGCATCAGTTCCAGACCCATTTCTCTCCGTGTTGCACAGAGTGAACCTTTCCCCTCTCAGGTAGCCACCTCTCAGAGATGCACTCCGCCTGTCAGGCAGGCAGAGCCCGTGACGGCGCCTGAGGAGGTTTTGGGCTCTCCCAGCACAGGCTCGCTCCTAACGAGACATGCTCCAGTGCCTTCTGGAACATTCCCAGCTCTGCTGCCTGCCAGCCTGGGACTCCTCATGTGGGCAGGGGGGCAATGCTGTCCATAAATCGACCTCCAGCACCCAAACACAGTCCCAGCACTGCAGCCGTGGGTGTGCCAGGGGAGGCTGCCTGAGGGGACACCACGCCATGGACACCACAGCAGCCAGCACAGGTCCTCAGCTGCACCTGGAGCCCTGTCCAAGCTAAACCTCCCCGGCACAACCTGAGCCATTTCCTCTCCTCCTGTCCCTGCTCCTGGAGCAGAGCCCGAGCCCCCGGCTGTCCCCTCCTGGCAGGAGCTGTGAGAGCCACAAGGGCCCTGAGCCTCCTTTGCTCCAGGCTCAGCCCCTTCCCAAGCTCCTCAGCCAAGCAGGAATCTCCCACTCCAGGAGTCTCTGCAGGTACATTTTTGTGTGCAGGAGAAGCAGCCTTGAAAAAATGTTTTCCTGTGAGAGTTCTGCTGTCTGGCATACGAGAGTCAAAGATTAAGATCAAGAGAAAATCACATCATGAATAATTTAGTCCCTAAATTTACCATCTTACTCTGCAGAGGCTATTGGAAGGAAGGATGCATTCCCTGGTATTTATCCCATGCACAGATGCACTGGAAAATAACCCCAGAATTTCCAGCTATTGGCTAGATTGTGAACTGTCACAATTACAGTGTTCAGAGCCCTCTCCAGCTGCAGGGTGAGGGCATTGCTCATGCACACGGTGTGGAAAGGAAATTTAGGGAATGACTCCCAGCCAGTTCAGCCTCCCCAGGGTCGTGCATGGATGAGCAGCTGGGGAGGGAACCACGGAGTGCAGCTCTTCCCCTGCTCCCCTGCTCCAGGATGGTGGGATGGGGAGAGGGAGCCCGTGGGGCTCAGCTGGCAGGGGAACAGTGAGCAGGGGACACACCGAGCTGGTGCTGGGATGGGGTGACAGCGGCTGCAAACTGCTCCAGTTTTATATGTCAAGAGGGGGCACTCCATTTGTTGGGTCCCTCTCCTTCATTCTTCTCTGAGCAGCTTTTCTCCCACAGTCTCAATTTTGTGGCTCTGAATTCCCAACCATCATTAATTCTTCTTCCATGAACACAGAAGTCTTTGTTGCACTTTATTGATAAAGTGTTCTCTGTTTGGTTTTATTATTGCTATGTATTGATAGTTTGTCCTCACCAAAAAAGGAAAAATCCAATCCATGGCAATAAAATTGTATGAGGGCTATAAAGAATATTAAATTACAATGTTGAGATACCCTGGGCATTTTATTTGAAGGCCAGATTGGTCTGTATTTGCTGTTGGTTGCTCTCACACGCCCTGGCTGTGCAGTGAGCATCCCTTGCAGTGGAGCAGGACCCTGGGCTGTGTGGCTGCTCTGCTCATGTGAGGGATAGTGTGGGGGTCCAGCAGGGCCTGGAGATCACTGGGATGGGGCAGGAGCAGAGGCAGGAGCAGCAGGATCCAGCAGGGCCTGGAGCTCACTGGATGCAGCAGGAGCAGCAGGAGCAGCCTCATGCCCACACCAGATGGACACTGCTCATCCCTCTGCCAGCCCAAGTTCTCCAGCACCTCGGGATGGGGGTGTGGTGAAGCCCGTAGAAAAGCATTTGCCTTCATCTAATTTAGGAATTCATCTCATGAATCAAAAGGCTACAGGAGGCCAACTGTAACATTTAATTAATATTTCCCATCTGCTTTTTAGCGCTGCTTTAATTACAAATGGTTAATTTAGTCACAGGGTGAGTTGATCGTAGATAGGGAGTGGCCAGAGCTGGTACAGCCAAAAAGCCACGCCAGGATCTCCCCCAAAAGAGGGGGGCAGCCTGGTGGGATCTCCCCCAAGAGAGGGGCCAGCCTATTGGGATCTCCCCCAAGAGAGGGACCAGCCTGGAGGGATCTCCCCCAAGAGAGGACACCAGCCTATTGGGATCTTCCCCAAGAGAGGACACCAGCCTATTGGGATCTTCCCCAAGAGAGGACACCAGCCTATTGGGATCTCCCCGGGGCTCTGAGCAGCCTCGCCCCAGGGCTCAGAGGCAGGATGGGACGCCTGGGCAGCTGCAGAAGCCTGGAGACACAACAAGCCTTGGAGCCTCCCCAGGCCCTCGGGAAGGCCCTGGAGAGCCCTGGCAGGGTCTGCAGAACGTTCTGGGTGCCGGTGGCTCCCGAGAGCCACCCCAGCCCGTGGGGCCAGTCGGTGCTCCTGGCCGAGCTGTCTCCAGGCAAAACGGCTGCAAAAGTGACTTAAAGTGAAATTCAAAAGCTGCTTACAGCTCCAGCATCCTTGGGTTTTGCTTCCTTCTCACTCCCTCTGAAATATTTCCTTTTGATATTTTAATTTCTTTTGGGCTGACTTTAAGGAAGAACGTTGGGTTGAAACAGATGGTTGTCAGCAAACCAATGCCTGCGAAGCACAATTGAGAATTAGCTACAAAAACCCAAAACTTGGCAGCAGCCGAATCCTCTTGATATAATTGTCAAAAGAAATCTGGCTTGGAAAAAATTTTTCAATAATATTTTCAAAATTCAAATGACTGAAACTTTAAACAAACAAAATACACTTTATTTGAGTGCGTGCAAGTGGTAACGACAAACCTGCAAAGGTCATTCCCAAAAGAGCACACGTGACCCACAAAACTCCAGCTGAGGTTCTTTCACCCCGGCTCGGCTGCTGAACGGCAGGACGTGGTGTCCAGGGAGCTGCCTTCAGCAGGAGAATTTCACCGAGCCTTTTCTCCGTGGCTGTGGTCAGCCCCTTTCCCTGGCACCGAGAGCCACCGGGGTCCGCTGGCTGCCTTGGGGACATCAAACTGGCCAGGGGGATGCACGCTGAGCAGTCCCCCTTTACCCTTCAACACAAAAATGCTCACTGGTGGCTTGATGGAAAGCCTCTCTCCTGCCTGCATTTTTCAGAGAGAATTTGTTTACTTTGGCAGGGATCTCCAGTGTGGCCCGGTTAGGCTTGTTGGGAAGACCAAAAGTCAGTAAATTGCTGATACTCCTGTGAGAGGATGCAGGGTCTTCTCTCAGCTCCAGCGTGTCCCAGGGTGAACCTTTTGCTCTTTTGATCTTCAGCCATTAGCATTTCTTTATGGATGAGATTGTTTCACATGAATCCAGTGTGAATTTATTCCAGTCTGAGAAAATATTTACTGATGAAAAAGTGTGAACACAGGGAAAAAAAGAAAGGAAGAAATAAGTTTGTTTTCTGGGTTCCCTTTGACATTTGAATAGGATATTTTATATATATAAATAAAAATAAAAATAAAAATAAAAATAAAAATAAAAATAAAAATAAAAATAAAAATA